ATATCATCCTCTGTCGCCCCCTTCTCCTCTTGCCCTCAATCTTTCCCAGCATCAGGGTCTTTTCCAATGAATTAGTCCTTTGCTTTAGGAGGCCAAAGTATTGGAGTTTCGGCTTCAGCCCTTCCTAGGAATATTCAGGCTTGATTTCCTTTAGGATTGATTGGTTTGATCTTCTTCCTGTCCAAAGGACTCTCAAGAGTCTTCTCTAGCACCACAGTTCAAAAGCATCAGTTCTTCGGTGCTCAGCCTTCTTTATAGTCCAACTTTCATATCCATGTATGACTACTGGAAAAACCATAGCTTTGACTATACAGAACTTTGTTAGCAAAATTATGTCTCTGCTTTTTAATACACTAGGTTTGTCATAGCTATTCTTTCAAGGAGCAAGTGTTTTTTAATTTCATGGCTGCAGTCACTGTCCACAGTGATTTTGGAGTCCAAGAAAGTGAAATCTGACACTGTTTCCACATTTTCTCCATCTATTTGCCATGAAGTGATAGAACTGGATGCCATGATCTTAAGTTTTTTGAATGTTGACTTTTAAGTCAACTTTTTCACTCTCCTCTTTCACCTTCATCAAGAGGCTCTTTAGTTTCTCTTCACTTTCTGCCATTAAAGTGGTATCATAGGCATATCTGAGGTTATTGATACTTCTCCCAGCAATCTTGATTCAGCTTGTGATTCATCCAGCCTGAAATTTCACATGATGTACTCTGCATATAAGTTAAATAAGCAGGGTAACAATATACAGCCTTGATGTACTCCTTTCCCTATTTTGAACCAGTTCATTGTTCCATGTCTGTTGTTCCTTCAACTTAAAACTACACTAAAAAATAATTAAAAAGAAATTCTTTTTTAATTTAAAAAATACGATCCAGCACATAGCACATATTTGATTCATATTGGTTACTTTTGGAAGTTGCATTGACTTAGCATCCCTGACACAATAGATTTTATTCTTGATGTGTTCTGAGACCAGTGTTGGCACTGCCCCGGATTCCAAGGACCTCCTGCAATAATTCACCATTAACTTTATGATGATTTCAAGGTAGATAGAACTTAGCTTTCTCTACAGATTTCTCCCCCTAATAATGGAGTACTGGTCAGCTAACTACCACCTAACTGCCTTGACTATCTTTACACCTGTGCGCCTATGTGTGAATATACATACTAATACATGCACATACACTCACACACAAACACACACAGCCACATATGTGCACACACATACACATTTAAGATGACTTCCTACCTGCTACCAACCCTGTCCCAAACTAAAGCAGAAACTAGTTCTCCGCATAAAGGTATCTCAGGTAATATCTCTAGTGAAGGCCACATACCCATAAAGGAAAAAAAAAAAAAAAACTTTGCAAAGGTAAAATATAATAATAGTTAGAATTCGTGATTGAAAGATGCACATTGGAAATTAAACTCAATGTTTTTAAGGAAAATAATCCTAGATTGGATTTAATAAGTAGACTTTAATTCCCAATACAGAGAGGGAAATGAAGAAGGGAGGAAACAAAGGCGTTATCACAGAATGAGACACATGAAAAAAGGAAATGACAGAAGAAATATTGATAAATATCTCCCCATCCCCCAAAAAGAAGTTGAGAGGGAAAAAGAAAGCAGAGAGAAGGAAAGGGAAGGAGGAAGCTTCAGGATGCTCTGGCATGGAGGAGAGACCGTGGCAGACACAACAGGAGGTCCACTCACAGCGCCATTCACCTGAGTCACCGGCTTGATAGCGCCGTTACCCAAAGGAAGGGCAGCATGTTAAGTGATCTGAAATCTCTGAAGTTGACTTACTCCTTAATTGTACCAGCACAGACATGCCCTATTTTAAGAAAATCTAGTATTTGAGAACCCATATTGAAAAGACAGGTTTATCAGTAGGTGATGGTTCTCCTGCCTTTGTAAAATGCTTTTTCTCCCTTGACAAAAGGAGTTGCAACAAGGTTCTTCAGTAGCATGACTACAATCTCCCCAGCACAAAAATTTAGATTTTCTTAAAGCTTTTCAAGAACCCATCTGTCACATTCGTGGATACATACCTCCCTTCGTCTGCGTCTGTCTTTTAAGCTACTCTGTCCACTTGCGACGCTCACGAGCTCACAAGCTCCGCTGTTTACAGAAGCTCTCTGCCTTGACATGTCATCACTTGCTTGATGAAGAGTTTGTTTCCTGTCCAATGTTACTGGAAGGAGTTCAGCATCAACCGGGGGTCAGGGAGGAAATGAGAGATTCCTAGCTGAGGACATGGGAGCTGCTGCTTCCAAAAGGGGGGAAAATTCACTTACAATTCTCCCCAGACCTGGCTCTCCTTATGAGGAACAGTGCCAGGGAGGTTCAGAGAAGCTCTGTGCTGATATAAGGGTGTGAGGATGGAGAAGACTTCCAGCTCCATCCTACAGTGGGACCAGCAAAGAGCCGTTTTCACAAGCACAGACAACTTCCCCCCAAACACAGCACGTGTCCCAAAAGAGAGTCATCCCACGCCACCCGGTACAGAAATGCACTTCTTCCACCACCTCAAGGGTTGCACACCCGCAAAGCAGGGCCCAGAAAGGCATCATGTGTGTCGATGCTCCATTGAGCGCTCACTCCCTGTCTCTTCCTCCTAGTGCCTTACTTCATTCAATGAGCAAACACCTGGCCAGGTAGAGTTCCTACATGATTGAAGAAGAAAAACACCCAAATAATAAAAGATGGGATCTGCTTGCAATGCGGGAGGCCTGGGTTCGATCCCTGGGTCAGAAGATCCCCTGGAGAAGGGAATAACAACCCACTCCTGTATTCTTGCCTGGAGAATCTCCTGAACGGGGGAGCCTGGCAGGCTCCAGGACGTGGGGTCACAAAGGGTTGGACATGACTGAGTGGCTAACAGACACGATAAAAGTCGAGGATAGGAGGAGGGAATGGGTCGGGGAAAAAATTTGCGTGGGTCGAGAGCCTGTGAGGGTGGCCAACCACAGTGACCACATGATGTTGATTAACTGCACTTCCCGAATGCTCCAGGATGCTGCTTGGCTCTGCCAGCCCTGCGCATCTTCGGCCTGCTTGGAAATGTTTGTTTCACCTGCGCTAGAGGTATAATCTGAGAAAAAACCCAGCCGCCACTGCCAGCAAACCACCAGCACGACTCCTCGGCTTAATGAGGCTGGAGCGAGACCCAGAGGCTTAGAGGCTGCTCTTCAAGCTACTCAGATAAATTAAGGAAAGTGAAATTGTTTGCTTACAGACAGAACCTCTTTCTCCTGTTTCTGTTTGCTGTTGCTATAGTTATTCCAGAAGTGGTGTATATACAACAAAAAGACTTCACTGAAGAAAGGAAGGAGAAGCCTTTGCCCTCACTTCACCCAGCACTCAAGTCGTGGAGGTTGGGTCCCACTGCCCACAGGGCTGCCCTCACCCACCCTGCATTGTGCTCAGAACAGGAGCCCACCCCAGGGACACACATGGCCTCTCAGGAGACCCTTGAATCACTTTCTTTTTTTTTTCCCCATTCTGATAACTACGGAGAGATCAGACTGAAAAATATAAAGAAAATTTCTCTTGGTTACTGAAGTAATTTTTTTAAAAAAGAAAACTGATTTTTTCCCTTATAACTAGCTAAGTATTTGGAAAGAACTCTTTGTAAGAGGCAGATAGAAAAACACTGAAAAATCAAAAATCCCCAAATAAACACCCGAATTTGAATTTCTAAAGGATTTATGAGCAGTATAAATAATACCTTAGGGAATAAGAAGGGAGGGGGAATTCAAACGTTGCATCGTTTTGTTTTGGTTGGCTGAGATTTTATTTTTGTTTTTGTGGGTTTTTTTTAAGGGGGGAAATGCTTGGAAAAATAAAAGTATCTAGTGATTTCAGAAGGTTTCTGAACTTGGCTTGAAAGTCTAAGTTTTGCTTTTCACTCCCCCACACAAAGATGCCATTAGCGGATGGCTTCAGGTTTTGCATGTCCCTCTCTTCTTACGCAGGGCAAATGGCTTGTCTCATGTGCAGAGAAAGGGCTGGAAAATATTTTTTGTGATCTGAGTGCAGCACAGAGTCTAGGATTCCAGAGGAAGTGGAGGCCTCCCGCTCCACACAGGAAACAATCTTCAAGCAGGCCTTAAATGCCAGATTCCAGGCCGAGTTTAACTAACCACTGACAGCTCTGTAAACAAAGCTAGGACAAAAAGAGCCCGCTTCCCCTTTTCTGGTAGTCATTTTGGGTTTGGGGGCTGCAGGGGAATTCTGGAATACTTGACTCCATGGCACAGAGACGCAGGAAAAGTGGACTCCTCAGCTGAAGAGCTGGAAAGGGAAGATCTTTCTGGGATTAAAACCATCACGGAGGAGGTAGGAAAGGAGAAAATGGTTGGGTTACAAAGAGCGGCGACTTCTGAGCTCTGAAAACAGTTTGATCATGTGTAACTGCTTTGACAAATGCTGCTGCGCTGTTTAGTCATGGTGCTCTTGCTGTGGTCTTTATTATCATTCTGATATTAATATTCTTTTAGGATATGCAAATTATGCCTAGATGCTTCTATTATTTTATTTCTCTCTTTACTTCTGCTTTTCTCTTAGTCCCAGACATTCCTTTTCTGGCCACTTTTCTTTTTCTCACTTGTGTTGCCCTTTCCTCTTTCTTTGTTCACTGATTTTTATCACTTTGGTCTGTAGTTCAGCAGGTTACAAAGAACAATATCATTCAGTAGCTTTCGGGTGATCCCAGCAATATTTCAAGTCATCAGACCTCTCTGTCTCAAGATCTTTGCTTAAAAAAAAAAACCTGTGATTCTGGGATTTTTACTTATTTGTCTCTAAGTTGCATGGATGGGACTGAATTTAGCCCATAAAGGATATGGCTTGGCTTGGGAGTCAGATATTGATTCCTGGCTACCTCATTCATCTTCTAAAGTATTTTTATTAAGAATAAAGAAAAGAGGGATAAAATCATGGTGAAGAGCTGAGATGACTCACCTATGATATCGATTTTGCTTCCTCCCCTTTAGATCCAGACATTCTCTGGTCTCCCTAAACCTGAACCCACACCATGGATGATTTTGAACGTCGCAGAGAACTCAGGAGGCAAAAGCGAGAAGAGATGCGTCTGGAAGCAGAAAGGTAAGGTATCTCTGTTCTGTTATCCACAATATTGGTTTTAGTCCTCGAAGAAAGATCATTGGCCTCAAGGGCCAAATGTATGGCACGCTAAACTGTTTGCAAAAGCAATTATAGAAAATGTTCCCAGCCATTAAGACTCTAAATTCTGGGCAAACAAACATCAAGAAAAAGAGAGATTGGAGATTTAATTTGTGTCTTTCATATTATCCATAGACTTTTAAATGACAATGTATGGATAAAAGTTTTAAAATCACTTGTAATATTGAAATGCCAAAAAAAGTGACAAATATTGAATACTGAAACCATTTAGGAAATGGAAGTCTTCAGTCTGAAAGAATAAAGGCAATAAGGCCGGATGGACCTCAGGACACATTTTTATTCTTATGAGAAAAGCAGCCAAATCCAGTATTGGACATATTATGGGTTAGTAGCTGGCAGAGTATGTTATTGTGGAGATTCTAATTGAAAGTTGTTGTGTTGTGTGAGGCCTCTGTTGTGTTGACTTTCAAGGGCAGGTTGGAGAAATAAAGCAGTGACATATGAAGCACAGGACATAAAAGCATCTTTTAAATCTTTAGGCCTCGGAGCAAAGGACAGCGGCATTTAATGTGACTTAACTCAGACATTTGTTTGAGAAAGCAGAATAGGCATTCTCAGAAAGAAAAATGTTAAACAGTTATTTAAAATCAAATAGATTTTTGCCTCATAATATTAGTACTTCCAAAAGATGGTACTAAGATAATACCTTAGTGATTCTGTAGTAGAAAAAAAAAAAAAAACCTGTGATTCTGGGATTTTTACTTATTTGTCTCTAAGTTGCATGGATGGGACTGAATTTAGCCCATAAAGGATATGGCTTGGCTTGGGAGTCAGAAATTGATTCCTGGCTACCTCATTCATCTTCTAAAGTATTTTTATTAAGAATAAGGAAAAGAGGGATAAAATCATGGTGAAGGGCTGAGATGACTCATCTATGATATCGATTTTGCTTCCTCCCCTTTAGATCCAGACATTCTCTGGTCTCCCTAAACCTGAACCCACACCATGGATGATTTTGAACGTCGCAGAGAACTCAGGAGGCAAAAGCGAGAAGAGATGCGTCTGGAAGCAGAAAGGTAAGGTATCTCTGTTCTGTTATCCACAATATTGGTTTTAGGCCTCGAAGAAAGATCATTGGCCTCAAGGGCCAAATGTATGGCACGCTAAACTGTTTGCAAAAGCAATTATAGAAAATGTTCCCAGCCATTAAGACTCTAAATTCTGGGCAAACAAACATCAAGAAAAAGAGAGATTGGAGATTTAATTTGTGTCTTTCATATTATCCATAGACTTTTAAATGACAATGTATGGATAAAAGTTTTAAAATCACTTGTAATATTGAAATGCCAAAAAAAGTGACAAATATTGAATACTGAAACCATTTAGGAAATGGAAGTCTTCAGTCTGAAAGAATAAAGGCAATAAGGCCGGATGGACCTCAGGACACATTTTTATTCTTATGAGAAAAGCAGCCAAATCCAGTATTGGACATATTATGGGTTAGTAGCTGGCAGAGTATGTTACTGTGGAGATTCTAATTGAAAGTTGTTGTGTTGTGTGAGGCCTCTGTTGTGTTGACTTTCAAGGGCAGGTTGGAGAAAGAAAGCAGTGACATATGAAGCACAGGACATAAAAGCATCTTTTAAATCTTTAGGCCTCGGAGCAAAGGACAGCGGCATTTAATGTGACTTAACTCAGACATGTGTTTGAGAAAGCAGAATAGGCATTCTCAGAAAGAAAAATGTTAAACAGTTATTTAAAATCAAATAGATTTTTGCCTCATAATATTAGTACTTCCAAAAGATGGTACTAAGATAATACCTTAGTGATTCTGTAGTAGAAAACTAGAAACTTACACTGATAGCAAAATATGTTTAAAGCTTGTGCTAAATTGCGTCAGTCATGTCTGACTCTTTGTGACTGGTAGCCTGCCAGGCTCCTCTCTCCATGGGGATCCTCAAGGCAAGAATACTGGAATGAGTTGCTGTGCCTTCCTCTAGGATTTAAAGCATGGTATCTACTTATTTGTGTAGAGAATTCAAAAGAAGAAGGTAAGGTTACTGCCTTTGATTAAGTTGGTCAGAGTAGATTGCTGTATGCCACATGGTACCATGAACAGTATCTGGGCTCCGTAGGTTCAGATCCCACCTCTCACTTATGAGCTCTGTGGCCATGAGCAAGTGACTTCTCTCTACACCACAGCCGCCTTATTTGTAAATAGGCATATATCTATGTAGTTTCTGTGGTTGTTGTGAAGATTATTGAACTTAATAAATGGCCTAGACTAGTACTGGCACATAACTATATGTTACTATTTTTTTTATTGAAGTGTAATTGCATGACAGTGTTGTGTGTTTCCACTGTACAATGAAGTGAGTCAGCTATATGTATACATGTACCCCTCCCTCTTGAGCGTCCCTCCCACCCCACCCCTCTAGGCCATCACAGAGCACAGAGTTGAGCTTCCATGCAATACAGCAACTTCCCACTAGCTAGCTTTATACACATGGTCGTGTATATATGTCAATGCAACTTTCCCAGTTCATCCCACCGTCCGCTTACCCTACTGTGTCCACACATCCGTTCTCTACACCTGCATCTCTATTCCTGCCCTGCAAACAGACTCATTTGTACCATCTTTCTTGTATGTTATTATTTGTCAAAACCATTATCCTTAACTAAACAAGAAACAACACAGCAATATAGCCAGAGCTAAAAAGTAATGCCAGGAAAAGGTAGTTGTCATACTGTGATGGAACTAGGCAGGAAAAGCTCCCTGGAAGTGGAGAGTCATGAAGGAAGTTAACAATGGTGATGATGAACGAATACAAGGCGGGGCTGTATAGAGGAGGCAGTGATATCTGCAGAAGCTCAGAGGTGGGAATAGGAATCCCAGCACGAGAAAACTGTTGAGTGCTTCAGGAAGAATGAGTTAGATTTGCATATCTTGGGTGTTTCTATTTCACATAAAAGGCAATAGACAGAGACTTTGCCAGGAATGAAAACATACTGGGGGATGTTATCTATAGTGGNCTTCAGGAAGAATGAGTTAGATTTGCATATCTTGGGTGTTTCTATTTCACATAAAAGGCAATAGACAGAGACTTTGCCAGGAATGAAAACATACTGGGGGATGTTATCTATAGTGGGCCAGAGTGTGGGGGTACTGGAAGGGTTAGTGTTGAACACCCGATGATGAGGACCGAATCAGGGCAGGAAATATGGAAATGAAGATCAATGTGAGCACCTTTAGAGGGAGAATTAACAAATCTTTCAGGAGAGGGAGAAACTCAAGACAATCCCACAGATTTTAAGTCTGGAGAACTAGAAGGGGAAACTGGGAAGTGTTGCACGCTTGGGTAGGCATGGGGAGAGTGCTTAATTTCAGGTAGAAACCACATCCAAAAAGAGATTTCCTTCAGGTGTTGAGAAATAGACATTCCAATCTTTGTTCAAAAAGGGGGAAAAATTATTATTGGAGAAGTCAGTTTGGGCAGACTCAGTGCAGCAATGGTAACACAAAAACAGAAAATGGATGGTAGCAATGGTGATGTGAGAGCAAGTGGAGACAGAGAGAGGTCATAAATACGTAATGGATGGGCTCCCCTAGTGGCCCAGTGATTGAAACTTTGCCTTCCACCCAGGGTGCAGGTTCAATCCCTGGTCAGGGAGCTAAGACCCCACATGCCTCATGGCCAAAAAACAAAGCAGAAAACAGAAGCAATATTGTAACAAATTCAATAAAGACTTTAAAAATGGTCCAGATCAAAAAAGAAAAAATAATCTTAAAAAAAAATAAATAAAAGATGAAATGGAAACCATCACAGGAGACAAAAAATCAGGGAGAGGAGGAGAACCCGGGAGAGCATGGGGCAACCATGATAAGTGTACATGGAAGTCTTGTAGGGGTGTCCAGACCCATTGGAGTGTACCTCTTATCCTTTCCAATGATGTGTTATGTGACCTCAGTTTCTCCTGAAAGTCTACAAGATGCTGTACCCTGCAAATGTTTATTCAGCATCAGCACTATGCTAGGAACAGTGAAAAATGGGGAAATATACATAGACATAGCTTCCGTCTTTATGTTCCTCATGATATGCTAGGAAACCAAAGTACAGCAGAATCAGAATACAGACCAGGCCAGGACCAGGGGGCAGATCTAACAGAATTGGGGCTAGAGGGAGTCAAGAGTGGGTACAGGAAGCTGGGCATCAGATTAGATCAGTATCTTCAACCTCTTCCTTGGTTGTGTGAATTGGGAAATGGGGACTCAACAGGAGAGGAATAATAGAACGAACTTGTGGTTATACCCATACTATAATTATAGTGAATGAGCTAGGTTCTTTTAGAATTTTGCCTAAGAATTTTCCATACATCTACACAGTTCATTCCTTCCAGTTTTTTGTTTGTGTGGAAGGATACGTCTTCCTTTAAAGTCAATTGTAAAAGAAATGTACCCAGTAAAGCTTAATTAGGTAACCTAAAACAAATTCACACAAATCTGTACTACCCTTGTTTAACTTACATTTCTTCAGGGATATTATAGTTCATGTGACTCCTTTTTTCTTTCTTTCTTTCTTTTTTTTTTCTTATTTTTAGAGAAATTCTTAAGTACTTCCTTATATTTGTACTTATTAAGGGAAACAATTTAGTTATGTTATTCTGTAATTTGTTAAGCAAGCCCATGTTCACCTTATAGGATTTTGTAAAATCTGATCATTTATGGAAATGGTGAAGGTCAGGCTTTATGGTCCAGCCAACTTTGATGGGAAATTTCAGGGTGTGCACAGGAAACAGATGTCCAGAATCAGGAATTAAGCGCCATCTAAAAGCATCTGAAAGGGCATAAGACCCTGGGCAAGTCCCTCTTCTTTTAGGTTTAAAACTTGGCTTCTTCATCTGTGACTGGAGTAGGGGATTGGCGGTAATTTTTATTTTCCTTTAGCTTTTGGTATTGTCTAATTTTTACAATGATCATGTGTT